AATGCAAGGATCGAAAGTTATCAATGGTTCAATGCGCTGGGGCGTTGAATAGGACACAAAAATCATGGCTACTATGTCACACTGCAAAATACAGTGTTGCCTACAGAGCAGCTGCTTGATCATGTCATAAGTTTACCAATCTCTTAAATAATTAATAACTTTTTCCTGTCTCATTTTACATAGAAACAATCTTCAGCAAAGTTGTAGCTGAGAAAATTTTCTTTAATAATGGCTATCGAACTGTTTCGCAGCTCAATATGGAAAAAGACTAGAAGCTTAGAGAAATAATTATAATAGAGAGCTCATTACGAAGGAAACTTCGCATCACTGAAACAGCGCCTCTTTCAATTATTACAGCCAACGGGTGAACTAATTCACAGCAAGCGTTCGCATTTTACATGTACGATGAACTACAGGCTGTCAACTTTCCAAAAAAAGTAATTATTTATTGATACACGCTTCAAGATTATTGAATTGCAGGAGTAAACTTGTGAAGATTCTCGTGAAGATTATGCATTCGACGAAAATCAGATATCGAGTGTACATTGGACTACCGGATAGGCGTGCAGCAAAATAAAGCACGAAGCGTGTCTGAAACGGGCACAGTGACGAAGAATTCCAAAACCCGTTCGAAGTTGGTTCAACACCGAAGGAATGACAGTACCGGGTTATAATTTGATAATATTAATTTTAGAAATGCAAAAAATGGATTCCAACACACTTTTTTCCGTAGAAACAAAGATCTTTTTTGTATCAATAATTACCACATAATTCTCGATGAACATTTTAAATGGTCTTATCTGCTTTGATCGATTCTCTTCATCGACTTCAAATACTACAGGGAAAAGTTTTGCAGCTGAGTTATTAATGAAAGAGGAAGTCGATGAAGAGAATCGATTAATGCAGATAGCACCCCTTGAAATGTTCATCTAGAATTAATCAAAAATGAGGAAAGCAATAAAAATTGAGTTTTTTTATTATTGTGGTATAGACCTTTTGTATGGACCATACATGGACGAGATAGCTAGATTGATTTTACAATAAGTCCTATCTCCATTTTTCGAACAAAGAATCTATTAAATTAATTCGGTTTCTACTGCAACCGCGATGTAATGTATTGCAAATCCATCGCTCAGATCGTGGTAGAAAGCGAATAAAGTAAATCGATTATTTGATCGACAAACGAAGATCGGACCTATTCTAAAATCAATTGAGTTTAACTTTTAGCTGGTCAAGTTGTCATCTCAAGAACAACATGTGAAAAGGGCATACCTGGGACGGGACTTGACAATCGGGTAGCGATTTCGAGCCAATTTGCTGTCAAATTCGAGCCAGTTGCTGATTGGTCGATTTGACAGTAGCAATCGTGGAATAAAAAGGATAGAGGGATCGCATCAATCTGACTGGCAGTGATGCCGGAACCAATGGTGACGTTAATGGCGTTGTTAATAGTTTATATTTGCGAAAGGAAAGTTGGAAAATAGGGTCCACGGCGTGTTTTAAGAGATGGATATTATTGTTTGTTTATGGTTGTTTTTATTGTGTTAAGCAAAAATGATGACAAGATGCTAAACTGCGGTAGAAACTCCGAATCAAATTAAAATAAATTAAAATAGAAAAATCATTTTGCAATCCTGGCATCATTGGTCAACTCCGTCAAACACCATGTACTATTTTCGACGGGCATTCATCAAAAACATTAAGAAGAGTGAGAAGCTGGATTGTCAAGTCCCGTCCCGGGGGCATACAAGCTTTTTGTAAACAAACCTTCTTATGCCCTTTTCTCGCCACCCATATGACACCAACGCAAACCATCAACATCACCGGATAGGGAAAGCTTTTCCCTTCCCGATGATGTTATTAGTTTGCGTGAGCGACCCTCGGTTGGCAAGAGGAGGGCCTGCAAAGGTTTGTTTACAAAAAGCTTGTATGCCCTTTTCACATGTGGCTATTGATCTCGGTTTTCATTGTCAAAGAAAATGCGCCGGTAATTCATATGCGTGTGCACGGTACGAACACAAAATGCACAGGGCAGGAACAAAAAGCTTCACTCGTTTATCAATAGATTGCGCTCATGACAGTGTTGAAATTATTTTATTCGGGAAATGATTAAGTGAGCTCTCTATTATAATTATTTCTCTAAGCTAGAAGGCTATGAACAAAAATGTGAGATTTCCCATAGTAATTTACATGTAAACTTCAAATGGCTTGTACGAAGTATGTTTCTAACCAAATGAGGAGGCTAATCAGGACCCGATTTGAAACCATTTACCAGTGTGGAGCGAAAAAGTCAAATTTTGCATAAGTCTAATATACACTCCCGAGCATAAGTTTAAGGACACGTCCAAAAAAACATGACAAATTTGTTATGTTCATATCTCTGTCATGTTACGTCCAATTTTCGTTCTCTTTAGATCATTTCAAAGGTATTTAGTGGAACTTTTCTCGTAGGCAAATTGTTCAATATAATTTTCAAATTTTGTGTGCTAAAAGTTCACCCAAAATTACAATATTTTTAAAAATTTACTCTGAAGAATCTTGACTGATTTTCTCAGAATTGGGTTGGCCAAATTTTGAAATAAAAGTAGTAGTAGAACACTTAGGGATCGTCCATTAATTATGTCACACTTTTAGGTGGAGGGGGGGGGGGTTTGGAAACTGTGACGAGCCTTAAAAAAAAATTAAGGTCCATATAAAAAATGTGATAGAGGGGTGAGGGGGGGGGGGGTGTTGAAAATAGCAAAATTTGCGTGACATAATTAATGGACAAAACATATTTGCATGGTTTTTTTGGGGTGTCCTTAAACTTATGATCGGTAGTGTACCTACATCATTTTTCTTGTCTATTTGATATATGTTTCACATCGAAGATGCGTCACACATATAAAAACGGCCAGGCCTACTGTGCAGCGTTTAAAACGCTGTCCAGACTGGAGAGTTATAACATGTTATAACGGTTGTCAAATAATTGCAACACAGAAACCACCATCAAGATAGCGCTATAACATGTTATAACTCTGTAGTCTGAACGTACTATAAGGGACAAGATGATTCAGAAAACATCGATGCTTCAGAATCCAATAAATGGATGAAACGTGGACATCTCGTACCGTACGTTCCTATTTTGGTAATTATATGATTGGTTGGTCGTTGGAAGCACCAAAGCTAGAAAGGTTAAGTGATGCTCCATTTTCTTCTGACGGTTGGGACATGAGCACTAACTCTTGTCCTAGCCTTTTATGACTTATGGATATAGCGCCATTACTCGCTTTCTGAAAAGAGAAGATTGAAAGGAAAAGGAGAAGGACAAAGGGAAAAGGATTATGTGAAATCTATGAAAATAAACAATATTTTTGATTTGAAATATATCTACAATATAGAAATGCAGAACGGTGCGGTGGTCACTACTCGAGTCTTGTCACTATTATCAAGTCATAAAAAGTAATAAGGACTAAATAAAATGTGATCCTTTGATTACTGGGAAAAAATGCTAAAATCGAACCGTGCCTAAATCAAACGACTATTGTACAAATATTTAAATAAAATAAATGGTAAGCTCTCACCAGATTCTGCAGTTGTTTGTGACCATTCAACACTGTTGACCATCATAATCACAAGTGTTAATAAGTAGGAACGAACTCACCAAATGAATCCACGAGCAATGTCAACAGAATGAAATTGCATGGCGCTACTGTTACTTTCATGATCCACCTTGCTTGCTTGAATCAGGATGATATCCACCTGGTACTATTCAAGAGAATTAACATGTTGCCTCTCCTTGAATACATCCCGATTCCTAGTGATTCCTTTTCTTCAGGGAGAATTTCCTGTAGTCCTGTATCTGTTATCTGGTAATATGCACGAAGTGTCGTTCATATTAACTGGGGTTCACGGTATTCACCTGAAGCTGAAGCTAATAAATTTATTCCTCCTAAATACGTCTTCTGTGAAACTCGAACTTGACTGTTGGTGTCTTTGAGTAAACACACTTCAACATAAAAATAAAAATACTTATGCTTATACGGACAACGTCAAAGATTTATCGAAGCATGACTTTGATCGCATTGGATGTCCCACTACAAGATCGATCCTACATGCCGCATCTCTACATGTCATTCTATCAGATCAAAAGCACCGCCTCACGAGATGTATAGCAGCCACCCTTTGGACGTTGAAGAGCATTGAATGCAACTGCAAAGGACAAACCCCGGCCCACAGCTTGGTCGTATTTGTTTATGAAAATTCATTCATCCCCCCCGAGGCACACACATATTCTTAGGAACGCAACGATCGGAGAGGCAGACAGCGACTGGCGCCACGATCAACCTCGATCTTTGCCGCTTGCCCGTTCGCGTCGCGTCTCTGTATGCCAACATTCAGTGTTGTTAAATTGCCTACCGGTAGGCGTTTCCTCCCCGGCAAACAAAGTCAATGATACCGTAATTATCGACAGACACCTGATGCGTTTCCCTGTAAGCGGAAGGAAGTGAAATTACCCCCTTTCAACACTTCGCCAAATGGATCATTCTTCAACGGATGGGCTATTTTTGGACGACCGGCTGCGCGGTAGCACTACCGGTAGAGAATTTTTTCCTGATATTTCCGTTCGCTCGGATGCTTGTAGTAACGTGACTAACTATCTATGGTGGAAGCCTTTTTGCCCGATTATTTTTATCAAGCACCGAATGCGCTTCTCGTGCGGATTGGAGCTTCGAGCCGATGAAGATCGTTTGAGGAACATCGCTTCGCAGCTGGTGGAAACGTTGGGTGCAGAGCGCTGGCACGTCGATGACCGACAGTTGCATTGAAATCGATCAAACCTACTCAAAACAAAGTTAGATAATGGATAGATGAGTGTAATCGCCGAATGCAGAAAGATCGGCATCCGGCCGGATGTGCCGAAGATCCGTCGTTCGTCGTTCCGATTGGATGGCTTCGTAGTATTCGTCTTCGTCGCCGTCGTGCTGCATGACATTGAGTAATAGGTATTTTAAAGCAATTTTCAATTGTTTGGTAAAATTTAATCGATCTACTGCGGGCGGTGCAAGAGGAAGTATCGAAGCGTTGAACACCGGTGTGTCGCTCAGAAGTGAACTAGGTTAGTGGGTTGCAGGCTGCTAAACGATGGATGTCAAAGTAGATGCCCAGGAGATGGCGTTACCGCCGATCGAGTCGTTCAAGAACTGCGAGTACCATGTACGGGTTAGCGGAACTACGGCGCTGGACAAGCGGGTCATGTCGTTTGTGGACAATTTGTGGGGCTTTGAGGTGACCGGAGGAATTGATCAGTACGAACCGCTGACGGTGATCTCGGTGAGACGGGAAGGTTTGGCGAGACGGGCCGGTATTCGGGTTAACGATGTGATTACCATGATTAACGAAACGTCGGCGGATAAGCTGACCCTGGCACAGGCTCAGGAGTTGATCGCGGAATCAGGAAGGACGGTGAAGATCTTCGTGAGGGGGTAAGTTTTTTTTTAAAAGGGACCCAGTGGTACGAGGGTTAATGGTTACGTTTTTTTTGTAGTGATGTGGAAGAAGAAAGCGAAGATGAGATGACTGTGGACTATTGGTTCAAACCTTGTAAGTAATCTATGTTCCAGGAATTGATCAACCATCTAAGTGTCTCAGATCACGCTTCATTCGGACAAACCATTGTTTATCGAACCGTACCAAGACAAAAGAAGACGTGATTGGTGACCAAAGCGCACTGGCAGATGCTGTCTCTGTCTCTCCTTCTCTCTCTCTCATCCGACCCTCGAGACTATCTCATCCTGTCAACCTCCTATCCCATCCCACCTATCCATGTCATCCCAAGGAACAGTGATCCACTCTTGTTGATCGAAAGATGGTTTCTTTTCCTCAGTGAGCGAAGCCGATCGGGCAATGCTGGACTGGGAAGCTCGCCGGCGAGCTAACCGCAATGTAAGTTCGATCTTCACCTTTCCAAGACTGTCCTCAGTATGCTTATAATTAACCCCTTCGATTCCAGCCGGGCAAGTGGAATGGACTGTGGCCATGGAATGATCGCAGGAAGGTAGTCTACAAGTAAGTATCCCTATCGATGACACCGTCGTCGACGACTACGACGAAGACGTCTACGGATCCAAGATGACAAAGACTCACTACTGACTTCGTGGGTGCGGATGAAAATAGCCCCAGATGCGGTAACGAATGCGGAACTGACGAGGAGGGACCGTTTGGCAACGATCCCTTTCAAATTGGTGAAAACAAATACATTGTGTTGTTGGACCTATGCATTGGTTTTGCCTACCGATAGGCGCTGGTACTTAAGTTTCCGTTTTTGTATTTGCACCTTTTAGGGAATCCAACTGTTACATGGTGCCAAGCGTAGCGGAGGAGAAGCGCGATCGGGAACTCAAGCTTCGCGTCTCGGAAGCCGAATACAAGCAACATCTGGAGAATGAAAAGGCAGCGGCTGACAAGAAAGCCGAAGAACAGCGCCTGGAGGAAGAACGGAAGGCCGAAGAGGAACGACGAGTCGAGGAGGAGGCGTTCTTCGCCAAATTCGAAGCTGAGCAGACACGATTAGAAGCACAGGAAGCGCAAAATGCCAGAGAAGCTGACCAGTACATCGAGGAACTCATGCAGCAAGAGGAGGAACTGCTGACGGCGAACGAGGAGGAAATAAGTTCCGAAGTCCTGGAGGTGGACGCTACGCAAGAATCGCAGGAAGATGCTGCAGAGTAAGATAACCGTATCCGTAACTCATCTAGGCTTAAGTGACTGAACATTCGCGCAATGTTTGATATTTACATGTAAATAATAAACATATCTACCATTTATTTTGCAAAAAAAAAAATACTATTTAGTACTCCTTCGAATTCCTTTCCGAACCCAATCATCATGTCCCTAAATCTAGACGGCAGATAGTTTTGACTCGAGAGGATCACAAAGAGACAAGAGTGCATAGTTCTAAATTTATCGCCGATCGATTGCGAATTGAACTCATCGCAGTAGGCAAGCGAGACACGAGGAAGCACGTTGTCCCCGTTACCGATCGACACGAGGCGGCGGCGATGGCGACGGCGATGGCGACGGCGGCGGCTGAAAACGAGTACTGCATCTGCAAGTGTCTGCTGACAAGTGCCGATTGTACGATCAGATATTCTTTGCATACGGGACGGTTAACACACGCATCGTGATCGCGCTCCGTCGGAGTCGGTTCTTTTTCATTTTCCTGGTGAAAGTTTCAACGGAAGTGCGCTTCCAGAAGCAGGGGTCGTTGGACTTTACTCGAGTGTGTAGATTCGGTGTTCCTAAAGATCGCAACATTTGAAGACTCATAATCCGCGGAAAAGATCATTGCACCGGTAAACTAGGACACGGGAATACGTAATCGCATTCATCTGTGTGAAAATGCCCGAATTTGTGATCGAAAAACGCAATATTCCAGTGCTGACGATCGCTTCCAACAGTAGTGGCGGTGCAGGTGGTAGCAGCAGCAGCAGCTGCAGCGGCAGCCATGGGAGCGGTGAAAATGCGCTCGGATTCCGGATTACCGGTGGAGCCGATTTCGAAATGCCAATTACGGTGTTTCAGGTGAGAGGAAATGCGACGGACGACGAACTTCGGGTCGTCAAAATAGTACGGGAGCATCGTCGGGCGGTCGGCCGGTCGGTTATCATCTGGTAGACGTGCGAAATTTTACGGGAAGAAGCTGATCCGGCTAAAAATAGCCTTGGGAACCGTCGCCGCATCTGTCGTCTGTCTTTTTGCACGAGTGATGCGGTTTTCTTCGCAGCATCAGCACGCATTTGTAACACACTTTCGAGTGATTTGAATGCGCGTCGTGCATAACCTAGGATCAAGCGAAAGCGGTTGAGATTCGTGCGCAGTTGCATGCAAGTTTGCGTGCAAGTGATTATGATTTGTGTGGCGCTTGCGCTGTGTAATCATCATCAAGCAATCAGATGGAAAATGGATATTTACTGTATGGGAGAATTGATCTGTTTTTGAATTTTAATTGCAATCAGATTTTTACTTTGCTATTTTGCAGCTTAAACGCTGCACAGACATATTATAACATGTTATAACGGTTGTCAAATAATTGCAACATAGAAACCACCATCAAGATAGCCCTATAACATGTTATAACTCTGTAGTCTGAACGTACTATTATGCTATATTCGCACTACGGAGTTATAACATGTAACAAGGCTATCTTGATGACGTTTTTCTTGTCAATAATTATTACTACACCCTTGTAACATTAGGGTATTTAATTTTGAAAAAGCTATGAACTTCTGATAGTCCACCCTGCAGTTCGATTCATAACCCCAAAATATGAGACTGTACAAAAAACGGTAAATATTGATGAAGGATTAGAGGTCGCGCAGTTTGTGTAGAGATTTCGGAGAATTAGTTTGGAATATTATTATTATTGGTTATAGTTGTTCAAACGTTGAAAAAAAAAATAGTATGTGGTAATCATGACAATAATAAACAAGCCTGTTGCTGTTGTTGTTGTTGTGATGAAATTGGCGTTCTTTTCTTGCACATATTTATCTATCAATTTACCCTATAACGACATTTTTTCGCATTTATATGTTTCATGATATGCTACCAAACTGATCGTAGCAATAAAATTCTTGTTAGTCATTGCCATATCAACAATAGATAATTATTTTTCTACATTTGGACATGAAGAAGCAAAGTTATACCAACAATCAATACGAAACTATCGATTTTAAATTGGCTCACTACTTCACTAGCCTATTGGTCCCAAGCAAATCGATTAACGTACCCCATTCTAGTAGAAATTCTAGTACTACGAGCCACTGCAACTCTAAGACTAGAAGGTCCCGAAATAACGTGCTCAACTTTTTGGCTCAGCTCTGGTACTCTCTTCGGTCTCAAGCTAATCGATTCACCCCTCGAAACAGAGGAAAAACCAATAACCCCTCATTTTATCTGTCAAACTGTCATAGCGAATCAAAACAAACATAGTGTAGTACTAGAATTTCGTCTAGAATGGGGTGCGTTAATCGTTTGCTTGGGACCACTAGGCTAGTCAAGCAGTGAGCCAATTTAAAATCGTTAGTTTCCAACCTGTTGGCAATAGTGCGGTGCTTTCACACTCAGCCTAAGCAGTCAATAATTTTACGCTCTCGCAATGATACGAGTTTAGTGAGGAATTCGTGGATTTTCCTATGTTTCGGGGGTGCATCGATTAGCTTGGGACCGAAGAGAGTACCAGAGCTGAGCCAAAAAGTTGAGCACGTTTCTTCTGAACCTTCTAGGCTTAGAGTTACCTCTATGGTATTATTCTATGGTTATAACATATGAGGAGGTTATAAGGAAAGGGCTGCAAGTGACTTTGATCGATTCTCTTCATCGACTTTCTCTTTTGATAGCCACAGCTTTATAAACAGATTTTGCGCTATTTCTGCCACATAGTTTGATATAGAAGGTTCTCATCTAGCATCCAGAATGGCACACGAATCAAGGAATGTGTTTGCAGCTGAATTATTAACGAAAGAGGAAGTCGATGAAGAGAATCGATCAAAGTCACTTGCAGCCCTTTCTTCCTAAACACCTCGTATTATTTTAATTATAGACAAGAAAAATGTTATCAAGATAGACTTATATAATGTTATAACTGCTCAGTCTGGCCAGCGTTATAGACAGTTAGACTTTTATTAAACTACTGTTAAAGTCGGAATTAGAACAATCAAAGTAATCATTGAGAGAATTATAGACATTCGAATATCTGTATTATGTCTGATATTCAATCTAAACATGTATGGGAAATTAGCCTGTCGAAACCGAAGAGGAAGAGAAGACAGTAGGGGGACTTTTATGAACCAATTTTCTGTCAAACGCGAACCAGCGCCTGATTGGTCGGACGAACGTATAGAAACGGGGGAATCTATTTTCTTGTATTTTGGCAGTCCCCACAATGAAATAGTTTTTGCACGGTTGTTTCCGCGAGAGAACAAGAACACATCACAGTCAAAAATAAGCCAGTTGTCTCCTCTTTCTCTTAGAGCAACCGTACCAATGAGTAAATAAGGCACATTTACCTACCTCTACCATAACGCTACTTGCGTACCGGGGGTTGCTATTCAGGTGGGGGAAATAGCAATCCTCACCTTGGGAAGTAGTGAGTTCATAAATTTAGCAACGCATCAGCCGGTTGCTATTTTGAATAAACGTCAAAAGTTTGTTTTGCCGGTGTGGAAAACGGTAACTTAAATTATGACTCTGATAGCAACGACCGGTGTGGAGAGGAGTGAGTAAGCCAAAATGGAAACGCTGTGCGTGAGTAAAATAGTGCCGCAAATGGCAAAGACTGGTACGGTTGCTCTTAGGTCAAAACTGAGTGAACCCAGAGTCGATGTTAAGTGGACCCTACACGATTACTTTTATTGACAATAATCGTATTGTCAATACATTCTATATTGACGTCAATATATCGAGATTGACAATATTTCTGAATTCACATCATCAATATTATTGTCAATAATTCCCCTTCGCGTCAATATATTGATGCGTGTGGGGTTTGCTTTATAATAAGAGTCCTGCCTAGAGAAAATGACTACTATTTGTGAATTATTTTTCGTCAGAGTAAACGGCAACCAGATTTTTTGCGTTAGCATTGGATGACTTTCATTCAGAAGTGAAAAATTTCATGTCGATAACGGAGCTTCTGGGAGACAAAAACAATTATAGAACCTGAAAAAGGTTCAAGCAAGTGCTTGGTATATCTTATAAATACCACAATGTACTGAATAAAGCGAATAAATGTTTTTCATCTAAAATTACTAAAATATTGTCAGTAATAAATGCAATACTTGTAGTTCACTGGCTGTGGGAACAATAATGTTTATTTACTTTGCTTGTTTGGTACCCCGCTTGACAGTTTTATTGGTACTTCTGGCTTCACTCTTGGCGGGACTCTTATTATAACATCGACTCTGAGTGAACCTATATTGGGTTTCTGGCCACTGCCGAATTCAAGGAAATGAAAGTGCCGACATGTTACCAATTTTAGATCCCCCCACTTCCCCCGACTGCTTTCAGAGCAACACTACATCTTGCAATATGACATAGAACGACGCTTAGCAGTTGAATTAGCATGTCAGAAGAATCACCTTCCTAATTAATTAATAACTAATTTTCCTGAGGTTCTATTAAAATTAAGTCTTCAGCAAGAGAATTAAAAGTTCACTTTTCTCATAGCAATTCCCATATAATCTTCAAAGGACCAGTGTTGTATGAGATCAACCAAATGAGCTCAAATTTTGGGAAATGATCACGATTTGATTTAGAATCGATTGAACTGAGTGTAGCAAAATCGATATTTTGAGCCACCCTAATGAATAGCGTGTTTGTCGGTTATGACTTGTTCAGACTACAGAGTTATAACATGTTATAGCGCTATCTTGATGGTGGTCTCTGTGTTGCAATTATTTGACAACCGCTATAACATGTTATAACTCTCCAGTCTGAACAAGGCATTACTTACAATGGGACCCAATTGTTTCCAAACGTAATACAGTCAACTCTCCACAACTCGAAGTCCAATAACTTGATATCGAGTTATAGAACCATAGTAAAAATGAATTTCATGGCTGTTATGATAGCGATTTTGTATGTAATAGTACGTTCAGACTACAGAGTTATAACATGTTATAGCGCTATCTTGATGCTGGTTTCTGTGTTGGAATTAGTTGACAACCGTTATAACATGTTATAACTCTCCAGTCTGGACAGCGTTTAATCGTTATTCAATAACTCGATGGTCCCTTCAATATCGAGTTGTAGAGAGTTCACTGTAATTATAAAGGAGCTAAGAGACACGTCTTCTATAGATCAAAGAGCGGCTGAGAAAGTTGAATTCACTCTAATAAGGGCCTAAGTCGCAAACGCAAACAATGACTTTTTCGCTCTCGAGATAGTTGCGGAACAAATTATTGAAAAATTGAAAGCTTAAACTAAAAATGGTCTAGCAAAAGATGGGTGAAAGAAGTGAGGGTCTAGGATAAAAGAGGAACGGATTCAAAACCAACTGCCTTGGCAATCTACACGGGCAATGACAACGACCTAAATTTGAGTTTAGTTAACTTATAATCGCCAAAAGTGTCGGGACGCAGCGATGAGTCAATTTGCCTCATGTTTTTCTGTGGAAAACCGCAAAAATTCTTCCGGAAAATGAGAAAAATTAACGAAAATTTTACTCAGTCTAGGAGAAGTACCAATAGACTGAGTGAATCCAATCTTTTCTTTTCTGATATTCGGGATTTTTTTTCCTGCACAAACCTGGATATTCCTGGAAGAACATGAGGCAAATTTACTCATAGCTGAGTTCCCACACTTTATTGGCAAATCAAAGTTGGCCCCCGTGCGGTGCAATTTTAAAATGCATTTATTTTACGAACAATTTACTTCAATAAAATCCGGTTAGTATCGTTAGTACAAAACTTGAGGGCTACTGAAAAGTCATATAATATAGAAACAATAATTTAATTTCAACCAGATTTTAAAAATTTGCGCCATTTGCAAAATAAAAGCATTTTACGATTGCACTCGTGGAAATT